GTGACCCAAAGAGGCAAGGCCACTCTTGTGAGACTACATGAAGCACAACCACTGGCCTTTCTAGAAAATTCTCCATTTCCATGTATTTCCACTACACTTACAGCACAGAGTTCTGGGAATGAAATGCCTCAAACCCATCTCTTTTATCATCTGTATCCCATGACTAAAACTGTAAGCTCTCTGACAATGGGATAAATTCTAAGTGCCCAGAACAGTGCGTGGCATATAGGAGACCCTAACTATACATTTGTTAAATGCATGATTGAAAAAAAAATAGTAAGCAACTAAGCTGAATAGTCTTGGTAAGTGAAATTAAATTTATTTATTTATTTATTTGTGAAATTAAATTTAAACTTGTCAAGTCAAGGGATGCCTGGTGGTTCAGTTAAGCATCTGCCTTCAGCTCAGGGTGTGATCCCAGGGTTCTGGGATCAAGTCCCACATGGGGCTCCTTGCTCAGCAGGGAGCCTACTTCTCCCTCTGCTTGTGCTCTCTCCCTCTGACAAGTAAATAAAATCTTTAAAAAAAAATAAATAACTTGTCAAGTCAAAAATCCGATGACAGATTGTCCATACTAAGTTCAAGGAACACAATGAACAACTGGAGCAAATCCTCTACACAGTACTTTACAGTTTATAGTCACTTTCCCATATATCCCCTCATGTGATCCTCCTCATTCTAGAAATAATCTCTCTCTCAATCTCTCCCAAATAATCTCTCTCAAAAAATCAAACAGAGCAGATGCCTTCACTTCAGTGTCCATCTTAAGCACTGCCTCAAACCCTCCCCTCTTCTATCAACACTGAGGTATGTGTTCCTGTGTCATGGGGGACTCTTTTAACACCCAGATCCTGAGGAAGTTCTGAAACTCTTCTCAATCCCAAGCACACTGAAGGCATGATATGGCAAACCACATTAAAATTCCTAGGACTGTGAACAGTAATAGTGGAAGGAGAACAGTAACAATTATCAAATACTTATTATGTGTGCCAGGTACTGTGCTAAGCTTTTCACACAGATGACTCTTCATGGTAAGTCAATGTTGTAGATAAGATCACTCCTTCTCGTTTTACAAATAGGAAAAGTACAACGCTGAGAGTTTAAGTGATTTGTAGTCATACTCCAGGACAGTATTCCCAAGTACTGTATAATTTGAACTAGCATTAGTTTTTTGTCCTTAAGGAAAAAAAACCTCTAAACAAAAGATACCGATATTCATGGAATGAAATGATTAGAAAAATAACAGAGGTTTTAAAATCAGTGTACATGTATTTCCTAAGCACATATCCAAAGCATGGGACACAGGAGCATATGATGCACTCCCTGTCTTCAGGGAATTTATAATATGGTTGAAAGCAGATAATAAATCACTAACAGTGAATGTTTTTTATAATGCTTTGTAGCTTTAAAAAATGTACTGTCCCATACGTTATTTTGTCTGAGGCTCACCAAAAAGCCCTAAGGAACTATTTCATAAGAGATGAAGAAACTGAGGCTTCAAGGAGTTAGGTAATGTGGTAAAATTCACAGAGACAGCCAAGTGGCAGTCCTAGAATTCAAATACACACCTTCTAATTCTAAATCAAGCTAGGTAGGAGAGGAGTAGAGGCCCAAGGGCTAGAAGGCAGAAAAGGAAATGGTAGCAGGAAAGAAACCTAAGTAGAGGGATGCCTGGGTGGCTCAGTCAGTTAAGCGGCTGCCTTCGGCTCAGGTCATGATCCTGGAGTCCTGGGATTGAGCCCCACATTGAGGTCCCTGCTCAGCGGGGAGTCTGCTTCCTCCTCTCCCTCTGCCCCCCAGCTTGTGCCCACGCGCGCACTCTCTCTTGCTCACTCTCTTTCAAAATAAATAAATACTTTAAAAAAACATAAGAAGAGATCAGAAAAGGAAGAGAAGCAGGGCAATATACAACAGGGAAACCAGAGGAAGACAGGATTTCAAGAAGGACTTGACTCTTCTTTCGATAGGTCAAGAACAATAAAAACCAAGGCAAGACTACCTGAGAAAGGACATTTTTAACAAAGCATAACTCTGTGTGATTATATTCAAACAGAGGCGGTTCACATTACTTGCTTATAAATGAGTTAATACTTCCAAAGTGCCAACAGCAGTGCCTGGTACATGGTATGCACAACATAAGCATTCGCTAAATAGATAAATCATAACCGTTCCTAATGTTCATTATATGGTACGATAAAATATAAAAATGTCAATATGTCAGTTAACTGCAATTCTCAACTACCCCAAAGAAGGAAAAAAGTCCTTGAACAATGTTTCTCAAATATGAAGAAAGAGAATTAGCATGATTCTTAAGAACTAGGCATAATAATGGGCACCCAATAAATGTTGGCTATGTCTACACGTGAGCTAAGAATTTTTTTAAGATATTTATTTATGTATGTATGTATGTATGTATGTGGGAGAGCGAGCGAGCGAGCGCACACCCGAGTCGGGGAGAGGAGGAGAGGGAGAGGGACAAGCAGACTCTGTGAGAAGCCTGACTCAGGGCTCGATCCCACAACCTCGAGATTATGACCTAAGCTGAAATCAGGAGTCAGACGTTCAACCCACTGAGCCACCCAGGTACTCCTGAACTAAGAACTTCATAGTGATTATCTGCTTTAATTCTTACTGCAACCTGTAAGAATGAAATCAGAGGTAGATCAAGGTTTTGTAGGGCCTGAAGCTTATAAATTAAAAAAAAAATACAAAAATATCTTTTAGCTTTGTAAAATTTACAAATCCATAGGACCCCGAGAGCACACTACTAGGGCTCTTCTCAAGGCCTTGGAGCGTACATTGCAAGTGAAGATGCCATGAAGTTTAAGGTGTTATAACTTCATCGTATATCTTTCTTTAGGTTAGATATTAAAAATCTCATTTCAGGGGTGCCTGGGTGGCTCAGTTGTTAAGCATCTGCCTTCAGCTCAGGTCATGATCCCCGGGTCCTGGGACTGGACCCCGCATCGGGCTCCCTGCTCGGCATGTGAATACAGTGGCAGCAGAGTGTGTTTACAGTGCTAAATTAGGGCTAATGACCAGCAGTATTTTGAAGGTTGGGTAGATGGCTTCAACACCTGCCAGTTCTAGGAGGGGCACCTGGGTGGTTGGGTCAGTTAAGTGACCAACTTGATTTAGGCTCAAGTCAAGATTTCAGGGTCATGAGATGGATCCCTGTGTTGGGCTCCACGCACTCAGCATAGAGTCTGCTTAAGAGTCTCTCTCTCCGGGGAGCGCCTGGGTGGCTCAGTTGGTTAAACCGCTGCCTTCAGCTCAGGTCATGATCCCAGAGTCCTGGGATCAAGCCCCATATCGGGCTCCCTGCTCATGCAGGAAGCCTGCTTCTCCCTCTGCCTGCCGCTCCCCCTGCTTGTGCTCTCTCCCTCTCTCTCTCTCGCTCTGTCAAATAAATAAATAAAATCTTAAAAA